AAAATACCGTCATTTCTGCCTTGAATGTAACCTACCGAATAAGGCGTGGCACCGAGGTAGGAATTACACGAGCCACAAGACGGGTGTCACATGTGGAACATGATCTGCTCACCCTTTTGGAGCCCCTGAGTTCACCCCAAATATTTTTGGGGGGTTTGTGTTACTCAATCTGTAGTTTTATATGTTGTGTTTTGTATACTGTTGCTTGTCTTGTTCGTTTTTTGCCCGGCTTCTCAGTTTGTTTTCAATTATGAGTTTGATGTCCCTTTGATATATTTCGTCACTCTTCAAGTAGTAAAAGGTTTAAAAATTGTAGATCATTGTAGTTAAATGTATCATGATAACGATTTGGTTCTATATATATATCACCGTGAGCAAATTACGTTATTTTCGCGGATATTTGTCTTATTGCGTTAATCTTCTTCACTTTACTTTGAGGGGATTTCTTTGCCGATTTTCATTACTGCAAGTTAATATCTTTAAAGTGAAATAATACCAAAGGGACAATCAACATCTCAAACCATGAATCATATAAACTTAATTAAAACCATGAACAAAATAAAATTAAAGTTCAAGAGACGAACAACAGTCCACAAAACACAGCACAGCATGAAAACGATCACTGCCTAAACAGCGAATGATTTTATGAGGTCAGGAAGGTATTCAACTTTTTCATTTTTCATTTCACAACTGCTTATAGTGTTTTCCATACACAATGACCTGCATTTGTATTTAAAAAGCTTATGTTGAAAATACTCAATCCTATCTCTATACCTTTGAAATTTGGTTTGTGAGAATAAAGATATATAGAAGCATCTTTTATTCAAATAATTAAAGAGATTAAATTTCTAAACACATTTAATATCTCAAACACGATTTTAAACTAAATAAGAAGCAGCAGCATTATATGTAGTTCGTTTATATCCCGCTTTAGACAACCAAGTGTTTCTAATCAAGGTTACTCATTTCAATGTTGGCTACGATCTAGTCGCAAAGTCATGTTTGCATTTAAACATGATTTAAAAAAGTAAATAAGTTTGACTTCGTAAAAAACATATTTTTACCTCAATTAGCTCATAAATATTCTTTTCGAACTTTAAATACCCCTTCTTTTATTATGGAAAATCATTCTCCTCCCTGATATTGACAATTAGCGATGTTCTATCTTAACGTAGAATAACAAAATGATCGCTATTTGCAGATGGCAGATTTTTGGGCAACTGCAAACACTTCAATAGAAGGTTGTTCTATGAACAATATTTAATAATTGCATCTTAAAATTACAAATTTAAAACAAATATTCCTTGACCTAAAACATATTATTTATCTATTTTTTTTTAGCATACTAATATCGATCCCCCAAGATATATTTTGCTCTTGGAACAATTTTTCATTTTTTTAGGATTTGTGATGAATTTCAATTTTCGGGAAATATTGCGCATATAACCTCTTATTTTTGTTTGATTTGGAAATAATGTATTATGTTATATAAAGTTCATATAATCTTTTGAAAAATTTTATGGTACAAGAATTAGAAAATGGCTTTTTGTTTAGTAATCGCAAAAATTGGAATGTTTTTTCATGACCTTTGACCTTGATTTAACAGAAAATGCACCGTACGATTTTTTTACAACCGGACAAAACAGAAAGTACAGATTATTAGCTTTCGAATGATATATAATACAGCCGTGTGTTAGGTGGGTGCATTAAAGTCGTTAACTAAGCGTCTTTTTGAAATAAGTCACTCGCCTAATTGTCCATTAATAAATTTTGAAATTATAAGAAAGTAAGTTTTTAACTTCCTTGGGCAAATGCGACCTTAGATGGATTTCGCTTTTTTAGGACCTATTTGATCATATAGCTCATCAAATGTTTCGGTTCTTATATCATTGGCTTTTGAACATTCGGCTTTGCGCGTTCCTGCTGAAGGTAAATCCAGAATAGCGCTTCGCACGCATGAAATTTATTACGTGTTGTTTTCATTTTTTTTTCAAAGAACGATATAAGTCTAAAAGTATACTCAACCTGCTGATATGACATTATATCGGTGGATGCACTTCAAATTACAAATTCATATAGCAATATCATTACTGGCAACATACATCATGTTACATATGCACAAATTATTTAAAAAAATATAATTACACACATTTATTAATAAGGTAATAAAATGCAAAGTACAAAGAAAATCTTTAAGATATTAAATAAGACATAATATCACTTCTTTCCGTGTTGAAAGATTTTTTGGTAGGATTAACCATTTTTAAACTAGGCATTAAATACAGAAAGGATTTTTCCCTAGATTCAGACAAATAATGTATTCTGTTTATGAAAACATAAATGTAAATGAATATGTTTATTATTGTATTGTTTATCATTTAGTTTGTAAACCCACATTAAATTCCTCGAAGTAAAAATGTATTTACTTGACTAATGTTTACTAAAAGTTAGGATAGTTATCCTCAATGTTTAATATTTTATGTAATATTTTGTAGACATATCGTATCCTGATATTCTTTACAGGTTTGATGAGTAGACGTCTAATGAGTAGAGTGGACTGATAGTCCCCGAGGGTATCACCAGTCCAGTAGCCAGTACTTTGGTACTGGCATGAAAATACGGATTTTATGTAATTAAAATTTGCTGTTACAAAATTTTGGAAATTAATTAAAAAATAAGGAATGTATCTCCTTCATGCAAAGCTCTGATTCCTTGCCCAGCTTTGGCTATACTTGTTGGTCCTTTTTTGTTTATAGCTCTTCATATTTTTAATAAGCTTTGGATTTTCAAATATTTTGGCCTCGAGCATCACTGAAGAGACATTGATTGTCAAAATGCGCATCTGGTGCAGAAAAATTGGTACCGTTTATGTTATTACTACCACTGGGTCGATGCCTCTTTGTCAGATGGGCGTAAAGCGGTATTGCATTAGGAATAGAAGTTTAATCTTACTGGTTCTTCACATGTTTCAGGGGTTTGATCTTAAAAGGTATTTGAATCAAATGGTATACTATCATCAAAGATACCAGGTTCATAATCTAGTTCGTCAGACGCGTGTTTTGTCTACATAAGCGTCATCTGTGGTTACTGGAATAAAAATATTTGCACATCCAAATAAACGACTACACAGGGAAATTTAACTCAAGTGAATTTTACAGGAACTTCGATTTATGTGAATCTCATGTAAATATCATGTGAATTGCACGTGAATTTCACCTCAAACGAGCTTCTACGTGCAACTCTCGTGAACTGATTTCTCATGAGTTTCACGTGAATCTAATGTGAAACTCACATGAACTTCATGTCACAATCACATGAATTTTCAAAATGAAGTTTTTCGAATAACATCCAAATTTTCAAATTTGATTAAAAACACGAAAACAACTAATTTTTAAATGTTCAAGTGAAATTCACATTAGAAATTTCACATGACATTCATGTGAATCTCAATTCACGTACAATTCATGTGAAACTCACGTGAACAAAATATTCCTGTGCAAGTTGAAGAGCATTGAAACAAAAAAAAAATGCAAAAAGTTATAACAATTCTGACTAAAGCCATCTATGCCCGACGGGAGATTGATTGGATGATTGATTGGTGTTTAACGCCACTTTCAGCACGATTGTGCTATTTCGTTGCGGTTTTAATGGGTGGAGGAAGCAGGAAAACTGATAATCTAAAGATTGGAGTCAAGCGCGACTGCCAAGTGCGGGATCCCGGAGGGAGAAAACAATAATATTTCGAACAATATCTAAGATTTTTGAGTAGTAAATGTGCAGACAATGACCGAATCAATTATATTTCTTGTCAGCACAGGATTACTGACTACTTAGCATGTGATACCCTCTTGGATGAAACATTCATCTTCTGCGGCATACACCCAGTGGTTGTTGAACCTTGTCAAAGACACTAGTTCAGGCTAAATATTTTGTACACCTGGCGAGTTTTACAAAAGATACAGTTAAGTCTGCTTCATATCTGGACTTACATCTAGAAATTGACAATGAGGATCAGTTGAAAACAAAACTTTACGACAAAAGAGATGCTTTTAAGCTTCCCAAATTGTGAATTTTCCATGCTATGTAGCAACATTCTAGCAGCGCATGCATACGGAGTTTATATCTCCCAGTTGATACGATATTCCAGGGCTTGTATTTCCTATCCTGTTTTCCTTGATAGAGGGTTGCTGCTCACAATGAAGCTATTAAATCAAGAGTTCCAAGTGATGAAGTTGGAATCAGCCCTTTGTACGTTTTACGGAAGCCATCACGAGTTGTGTTGTCCGTTACGGCAGATCCGTTTCACAGATGATAACGGATATGTTCCTAATGTCGTAACTACAATCCCGTCCCCTTTTCCCGAATGTGACCTACCGAATTATACTTATTACCGGGTTTATACTATGTTAATCCACACGACGGGTGCCACATGTGGAGCAGGATATGCTTCTCCTTCCGGAGTATGTGAAATCATCCGCAGTTTTTGGTGGGGTTCGTGTTGCTCAGTCTTTAGTTTTTTATGTTGTGTTTTGTGTGCTAATGTTTGTCTGTTTGTCTTTGTTTTTTTAGCCATGGTGTTGTCAGTTTATTTTCGACTTTGAATGTCCCTCTGGTATCTTTCGCCTCTCTATTATATCAGCAAAAAGCTTAGTTTAACCTGTTATATACGTAGGGTTCCTAGGGGGTCAGAATAAAATGTTTCCGAATTCTATCAAAACTTGTATTACACACGGTTTAGTAACCGTTATTATAGCGATCAAACTAATTTTCTGCTCTTTGGTCGGGTTGTTGTCTCTTTAACATATTCCTCATTTCCATTCTCAATTCTATAATGTACTTTTGAATTATATACATGTAACATTCTGCAATTAATATATAGATGCATTGTGTGTTCTACAAAAACAAATATTTCAATATAACATTTTACCGATAGTTAGTATTTATGTAAATGCAATTCTTAATTTTGTTAATATAAAATACAGTCAAATTTAGATACTTACAATAGAACTCGTCTGTAAAATACACACTTATAATTCCATTTATATTACTTTCATACAAATAAATATTTGTTTTAGCATATTAACACATTAAATTAGAATGCATAAAGAATAATGTTTTAGCATGTAAAATAGTTATAAATAGAATGGCTCTTCTTCTTTTACAATCCTATGTTATTTCCAATCAATAATCCATAGCAACACAGCATAACAACTCACCAACAGAGAATTTATAAATCAGTTATTATCAGTAGTTATTGAATCTACAGAAACGGTGAAATCTTGCAGTAAACATGATAGCACAAAATATTTATTTCAAGGATATTGCAATAAGCGAAGTGCTTCAGTCTACTTAAATAAATTCATGGATGTTCGGACTTTTTCGTGGATAGAGTCCTACACAATTCTGGTTATTCTGTCTTTTTTGAAGAAAGGAAGTGAAAAGGGGGTGAATCAGAGCTTTGCATGAGAGAGAAAGATTTAATAACTTCAAATAATTCCCAAATTTTGCAAATCAACACATTTCGAAAAAAATATATCCGTATTTCCATACCAGTGCTACTGGCTACTCGGCTGGTGATATCCTTAGGGACTAACAGCCCACCAGCAGATGTATCGACCCAGTAGTAGTAATAACATTAACAATACCAATTCTACTGCACAAAATGCGCATTTCGACAATTAATGTCGCTTCAGTAAAGCTCGAGGCCAAAATATTTGAAAATCCAAAACTTATTCAAATTTAAAAAGATGATAAAACCAAGAGGTATAGCCAAACCTGCGCAAGGAATCAGAGCTTTGCGTGAAAGAGATGTGTTAGACAGGAATTAACTTATACGTATTTACTATGCTCTCAACATGAGTCCGAGCTACATGAAAATGTTATGGTGGAAGCAGCTGCTATAATTATTTCTGGACTACGGCGTAATTCCTCGAAACATAAATTTACATTACTTAGGATTAGAAATAGAAAGTCTGCAGAATAAGATTATATTGTTGAATGAAATATCAAATAGGATGATATCGGCATAATTATATGAGTTAGTCCGGTCATATTTCACAGACAAACCCGTTATAATTTGAGGAATGAAAACAATACTCTACATTCCCACTTGCTAGAACTAGCTCTTACTTTTATTCTGTCATTCCTTCCACTATTATGGTTTGGGGTCATCTTCCTCTTATCAAAAATAATACCCATGTTTATTGTATAGTTACAAGTAGGGTAGAAGAATTCTTTGAAATATAATCTGTAATATAAATTTGATTCCCAAAGGTGATATTGCATTAGCTAGGAATGAGAAAGAAATGTTACGAATTGTATTTAAAATTGTATTGTTTTGTAAATATTTTTATGGTAATCATTAGCAAAGTAATTTATTTTATATAACCATTGCAAATAATACATGCAAAATGCGTTTTACGGAGTAATGCTTAACATTACATTATATCGATAGGTAGTAAAGTAACAAAAATACCGAACTCCGAGGAAAATTCAAAACGGAAAGTCCGTAATTAAATGACAAAATCAAAAGCTCAAACACATCAAACGAATGGATAACAACTGCCATATTCCTGACTTGGTACAGGCATTTTCTTATGTAGAAAATGGTGGGTAAATTAAACCTGGTTTTATAGCTAGCTAAACCTCTCACTTGTATGGCAGTCGCATAAAATTCCATTATATTGACAATGTTTGAATAAAACAAACAGACAAAATAGGTAAACATGTCAAAAATAGGGGTACAGCAGTCAACATTGTGTTATAATCATAATACCTATAGTTTTGATGTAGGCGAAAATCTATTTTTAATTGAAGAAAAGAACGTCAAATTTAGATACTTACAATCGGATTCGTCATGCAAATATAACTCTGTAATTCAATTTATATGACTATCATACATATAAATGTTTGTTTTAGCATTTGTACACATTAGACTAGAATGCAGAAAGAATAATTAACGTATCACCATGGTGATACGGTCTGATTAGTCAAAGGCTGGACGTCTGGAATGTGGTAAATCTGTTAACGGTATCTCATTGGTTATAAATAACATTAAATGGCTGCATCTCAGCTGCTTCCGGGCTGCTTCTGGGGGGAAGAGAAGGATATCTTAACATCTGATTGGCTATTATTGAGTTGTATGCATTATATGTCAACGCGTCCGTAAGTGGGGTCGGATAAAAATCATGATAGTAGGTCATCGGTAGAAACTATAATGAAGTGTCCAATTGCTATCATAATTTAAGCCAAATTTAGTTCACGAAGCCCTGTCAATTTGAGCAAATAATATCATTCAGTGAGGATGAAATGTATGTTATCTTGAAATTTTGTTGCAATTTTGGTACACAGGTGTATATTTATGGATTATTAATGTTCTTTCGAAAACAAAACAATAATACATCTAATCTTTACTTTATAATGCGTATTGAAACATATTTTGCTATATTTCTTCATAAACTATAATTTTAAATAGTAAATACACAAAACGTGTGCTCTATGAATAAAAATATTATCCTCATATTTTTCATTGCTTGAACATATTGATTAGAAAATATTCAAATCACGGAATTTACCGTATTGATACGAAGATGTCCTTTCGTTTCCCGCGCATTCACCGCTTCATTGATTTCTGATGTAAACAAAACAGACAATTGCCGATAAACAGCTGATTAGAAAAACAGAAAACAAACAAGGTGAGTAATATGGTTGCGTGTGTGCAAGGGAGCAAACACCAATCATCACGATTTAGTTATGGGCAAGGGTTTCAGTGCACTATAGTTTGTTAAATGACCCCTCTAGCTGGACGTCTACGACTATAGATGAAATTATCTGAGACTCAATAAGTTAACACAATTTGAATTAACATGATCGCATCTTATTTCCTGAAAACCCAAGATACTTGCAACACAGCGAGGTCCCAAGCGAGGTCCCAAATGATATTCGCATGTGGGGTAGACAGTTTAATGTACTCGTACATAATGATTTATTCTTTGGAGTCATTGTGCACCACGGGCGGATCATAAGGGGGCTGGGGGCCGCCCCTCCCCTTGGTCGATTATATAGCCACCCCTTTATGAAAAGTTCTGGATCCGCCACTGTACACAGTGGCGCTCAGCAGTCATTGTTAATTGATATATCAACAGCACTGAGAACTGCATTTGATATAGATAAATCCAATTCTAATTTGTTCACATTACAATGTATCAGGTCTTACAATAAGTATATTTCGTCGTGATGATAATTACTACTTGTTTGATTCACATGCTCAAGATAATCAAGGTTTTCCATTTTCAGATGGTGCTGGTATTTTGCTAACATTTTCAAATCTGAATGAGCTAATACTATATGTATAATCATCAATATATAATATAATGGTGCTGAGTTTAATCTGTCGGCTGTATTTGTATAAGTATTTGTAATATGTGATATTGGCAGATGGAACTGACTATGTAAAGGCTCTAGTTTATGACTTGAATGTGTTAACAATGATGGTGGTTGATAAGGAAATCCAGATCCAGGATGTTATTCCCAAACCGAACAGGTATTTTATGTATATATATTAGAATTCATCCTCCTGAACATAGTACCCATATATAATTACCATACACCTAATCGCTTAATGGAATTCTGTCCCAGCTGAGAATCTCTCGCTTCAACCATTGACATGATACAACAATCACTTTTCCATTGTGGCGTCAGATATTTTGTATTATGACATCAACATTTTACGTGAACCTTTGTGATGGCCAGTAATGGCAGACAAATAGCAATAAGTAGGATTCAAAGCACTCTTTGATAAATCAACTCTAATGAAAATTCTTATATATATAGATGATCACATGACATCATGAACATAGACGTCCCTTAACAAGTGCCGAAAATAAATTTTTCAAATGCATCTATTGAAAATAAATTATTGCATGCGTTTCATAAGTTCTGCTTTGGACATAACTGAATAACAATGCCGAATATAATGGAAGCATGCATTAAGTTAAATTTCTTTATTTTTCACATAGCATCTGACAGCATTGAATGATACGATAAAGGGTAGTTTAGCTTATATGAATCAGCAGATTTATCGTTGTTTTAGAAGTTCAACGAGCAGTTATATAATTTACTTAGTTGGGTGGATAACATAACATTTACAAATGTATCTTGTCATTATACATATAAAAAAAATGTGGTATGATTGCTAATGAGACCAAATCTCCAAACAAGACCTAAATGACACAGAAATAAACAACTATAGGGCACCTTACAGCCTTCAACAATGAGCAAAGCCCATACCGCATAGTCAGCTATAAAAGGCCCCGAAAAAACAATACAAAACAATTCCAACGAGAAAACCAACGGCGTTATCTGTTTGCTCAGCATTCATCATTAAAACGATCACATTAAAAATCATTTTATGAAAGCACTGTAAGCAGACATTTCAGGAGGCAACAAGTCTGTCATTGTCTGTAGGCTGACTGTTTATTATCTGAACAAGTTCATTTCTTGTCAACTTCATAATTATTTCAAACATTTTAATAGATGTCACCCAAATTTGGTCTATTTCTATTAGCTTAATATTCTTGCTTCTTCAAAGTCATGTTCATTTATTTTTCAACCGCGCCCAGAAATATGCGGTTACCTTTAATTTCAGAAACGGATTTAAGGAAAGGCGACCTGGGTCCCTCTTTAAAAACCTACATTTAATGTTAATGCAGACATTTTACTTTTTCCACACCAAACCTTGCCCAAACTTGACAAGGTTTGGTGTGGAACAAGTAAAATGTCTGCATTAACATTAAACTTGTTCCACACCAAACTTGACAAGGTTTGGTGTGGAACAAGTTTAATGTTAATGCAGACATTTTACTTGTTCCACACCAAACCTTGTCAAGTTTGGGCACCCCTTCTTTCCATAATTCATCCTACATCTACTTTTGAATGTGTTCCTTATTTGTTCTTTGGTCTATGAATATCTTTCTATATATTGACAATGAAACCACATCTTCATGGTCCAACAAAAATGTTGATAATGTGTACATTTAATTTTTTTCTAGCTCCTCTCATATGATAGCAGTACCTTTTTGGTCACTATTCTGTGTTGCGTCTAAATATTAATTGTAACACTTTATAGTGACTGAACAGGTAAAACAAATACTTCTCAAGAAACAGAAAAAGAA